CATAGTAACACCTCGTTTCTACTAAAAAAAGCAAAATACCTAAATATAACTTCTCTGTCATTCTGTCACCAGGGATTCTCTCATATCTCCTCCCTGTTTTGGTCTCTTTTTTTCTTTGCGCTTTTCACCTTGTGAAGTTATCAGGTCCTTGCTAAAGTGGGCACTGAATTAATATTTGTGGATTGTATTAATATTGTTAACAAAAATAAAATTGCAAGCTGCCCCCCAGTGCCACCAACTGAATGGACCCCCTCTTGGCCAAAGGACACCAGAAAAATCATTAAAAATTGAATTCCCGTCGGGCACGGTGGCTCACTCCTGTAATCCCAGCACTTTGGGAGGCCGAGGTGGGTGGATCATCTGAGGTCAGGAGTTGGAGACCAGCCTGGGCCAAATGGTGAAACCCTGTGTCTACTAAAAATACAAAAAATTAGCCAGGCATGGTGGCACACACCTGTGATCCCAGCTACTCAGGAGGTTGAGGCAGGAGAATCTCTTAAACTCGGGAGGCAGAGGTTGCAGTGAGCCGAGATTGTGCCACTGCACTCCAGCCTGGGACACAGAGTGAGACTCCATCTCAAAAACAAAAAACAGCAAAAACACAAGGCTGGGCGCAGTGGCTCACACCTGCAATCCTAGCACTTTGGGAGGCCAAGGCAGTAGGATCACTTGAGGTCAGGAGTTCGAGGCCAGCCTGGCCAACACAGTGAAACCCCCATCTCTACTTAAAAAGAAAAGAAAAGAAAAGAAAAGAAATTGACTGGGTGAGGTGGCACATGACTGTAGTCCCAGCTACCCGGGAGGCTGAGTCAGGAGAATTGCTGGAACCCAGGAGGTAGAGTTTGCGGTGAGCCAAGATCACCACTGCACTCCAACCTGGGAGACAGAGTGAGACTCCGTCTCAAAGAAAACAAAAAACAAAAACAAAAAACAAAAAACAAAAACAAACAAAGCTGAATTCTTCGCCAGCTGTGAAAGTAAGGGAGGTCAGAAGCACATCTTGTTATGCTCCCTCTGTTTTGGTGTTTAAGCACAACTGACCAGCATCAATGTTGAAATGGAGATCATAAGGTTAGCAAAACACACTCTTTGTGAAAATAAGATATTGAATTATAAATAGGACTTAAGGCTATGCCACACAACAGTTAAGTCACACACATTTACAGGTCACTCTGACCCAATGTATTGGCTAACAGCCTTCCTTATCTTAAACATTTCTTTCTGCTGACTCCAAATTTTTAGACTAAGTTTTACTCCTTTAACCAATTGCAAATTCCTTTTCTTTTCTTTCTTTCTTTCTTTTTTTTTTTTTAAATAATAGGGACAAGGTTTCACCATGTTGGCCAGGCTGATCTCGAACTCCTGACCTCAAGTGATCCACCCGCCTCGGCTTCCCAAAGTGCTGGGATTACAGGCATGAGCCACTGCCCTGGCCACCAATTGCAAATTAAAGAATCTCTGAATTCACCTATAACCTCTAAGCCCATGCTTCAAGATACCGCACCTTTTTGGGCTAAATGTATATCTTTCATGTATTCATTTATATCTTTGCCTGTAACTCCTGTCTCCCTGAAATGTATGCACCAAACTGTGGGCTGGGTGTGGTGGCTCATGTCTGTAATCCCAGCACTTTGGGAGGCCAAGGCAGGAGGATCACTTAATGCCAGAGTTTGAGACCACCTTGGGCAATGTAGTGAGACATCATCTCTACCTCCCTTTCCCCTCAAAACTGGCCTGGCATGTTGGTACATGCATTATAATCCTGGCTACTTGGGAGGATATTTTGGGCCTAGGAGTTCAAGATGATAACAAGCTATGATGGCACCACTGCACTCCAGCCTGCTGGGCAACAGAGCAAGACAGTGTCTCAAAAAAAAAAAAAAAAAAAAAACTCCCCCCAAAGAAACCCCTTAAGAAAATCCAAATTATTATAACTTGATGACCTCAGGGACACTTTCGTAGGACCTCTTGAGACTGTGTTTCCCCAAGCTTTGGTCACTCATATTGGTGAACAATGAGAACACATGGACACAGGGAGGGGAGCATCACACACTGGGGTCTGTTGGGGGGAAATAGGGGAGGGACAGTGGCGGGTGGGGAGTTGGGAAGAGATAGCATGGGGAGAAATGCCAGATATAGGTGAAGGGGAGGAAGGCAGCAAATCACACTACCATGTGTGTACCTATGCAACAATCTTACATGTTCTTCACATGTACCCCAAAACCTAAAATGCAATTAAAAAAAAACCTTTAAAAAATATTTTACAGTTTTTTGTTGTTGTTGTTGTCATTGTTAACAACATATTGTTAAATGGGCTTAAAACTGCACTTTTGGCAATGTGGTGCAATGGAGTAGAAAAGAGTAGGCTGGGGGTAGTGGCTCACGCTGTAATCCCAGCACTTTGGGAGGCCGAGGCAGGCAGATCACAAGGTCAGGAGATCGAGACCATCCTGGCCAACATGGTGAAATCCCGTCTCTACTAAAAATACAAAAATTAGCTGGGTAGGGTGGCATGTGCCTGTAGTCCCAGTTACTCAGGAGGCTGAGGCAGGAGAATCGCTGGAACCTGGGAGGCAGAGGTTGCAGTGAGCCAGGATCACGCCACTGCACTCCAGCCTGGGTGACAGAGTGAGACTTTGTCTCAAAAAAAAAAAAAAAAAAAAAAAAAAAAAAAAAAA